AGGCTGTACGCATGCTAACAGTGTGGAAAAAGCTTCTATTCTACAGGAAACTTGGCAGTGCACAGAAGAATTCACACTGGGGAGAGGCTCTATTCTTGCCCTCACTGTGGAAAGAGTTGTAAGCAAAATGGCAACCTTGAAGTCCACATGAAAACTCACACTGGAGAGAGAAGCTTTATTTGTACACAGTGTGGGAAAGGTTTTTCTCAAAAACAAAACCTTACCATCCACATGAGGATTCACACTGGAGAGAAACCTTACACATGCACAGAGTGTGGTAAAAGGTTCCCACATAAAGGCTCACTCAAACACCACATGATAACTCACACCGAACAGAAGCCGTTTGCATGTGCTCAGTGTGGAAAGAGCTTCACAACCAAAGCTAGAATCATGAATCACACGAATGGTCATACTGGAACCACAGTGTTTACATGTGATCATTGTGGAAAGAGTCTCTCATGCAAAGACTCCATTAAGCAACACATGAAGATTCACTCAGGTGAGCGTTTTCGATGCAGTGAGAGTGGAAAGGTCTTCAAACATAAAAGATGCCTCGTCAATCACATGAAGCTTCACAATGGAGAGAAAAAATGAGGCCTTGTCCAGCAGAGCTTAAGGCTTTCCTGGGATAGCATGGGATAGCATCTCGGGACAAGTGTGAACTCCTGAATACATCTCAAGTTACTGGAATGAAACCCTTTGAACCTGAAGATTTAAACTCAATAACTAAAGAGGGGTGAAGATGTGCCAGGTTGTGAGAGTTTCTACAGGGCTGCAAGAAAGCAAAATAACTCTATATGTGTTTCAAGTTATTATGAACTGAAAACCAAATTTGTGCACATTGCACACTGCAATCAAATGGTCGGCACTGAAAAGAGAATTAGAAAGATTAGGGAGGAGAAAATGTTTGGGGATATGCAGGGTAAACTGTCCTACACTCTTAGATTGTGTTTTTGATTATTCACATTGTTTGATTTTCACTCCCTTGAACAAACACCGATTTGCCTCCAATTTTGGGCTTTTGTCTGCAGTTTCACAAAACATGTTGGTGAATGAAAGTCCACCTAAACTCGGCCGGTGTGAACTTGCAATGACAGTGAGAGACTGATGCAGACTCCATAAAGCCCTGTTCAGACTACACAATGCCATTTGCCAGTTACCACAGATCAGATTTTTGTCAGATTATGAGATTTTGACTTGATAAACTCTTGATGTGTTGTGGGTACAAATGGAGACTTTGGTTTCAAAACACTACACTTTTATTTTGATGGACATATTTTAGAAAATAAACAAGTTTTCTTCATGAAGACAATTAAACTTTCTATGGACAACTAGTTTCCCTTAAAGAAATGTTCATGTGAAAACTCCCACATTACTACAAATAAATCAGTGTATGGGAAACCCAGTGTTGCTATTGTGAATGAGAACATGAGTGATTTGTTAGCTTACATGCTAATTCCAGTACTCATTAGACTACTGAAGGACTTCAGCTATCTGTAAATTCCAAATATTATTTATATGCATTACATATTGTACTACTCATGTGCACTGATAGATTATATTGTGTGCTGTCTGCAAGTGGTGTGTGTGTGTAGGTTATAGTTTTAGGTTTATTGTGTTAAAGGTAAATTATTTTAAGAGTAACAAGTTATTTAATTATTAACATTCTGATTGTTCCTATATATATATATATATATATATATATATATATATATATATATATATATATATATATATATATATATATATATTTATATATATATTAGGGATGCACCGATATGTATAGGCCGATATTTATAAATATTTCAAAATGATATATTTTTATACAGCAAACTTCATAAAAGATTGAACTTCTTTTATGAACTAAATAGTCTATACTCAAAGCAAAAAAGCTTTAACTTCAAAATTGCAAGGTGATTATAGACCTATATTCAAGATTTCACATAAATCAGCATGCAAAAAATACATTACTTCCTTTTCTTCATAGCAAATTAACATGCAACTTGACTGTTGCATAAAATTAAGAAGGTTAAATAACAAAATATGATTTATTCAACAAGCAAATTAAATATATTTAAATAAGATGAGAATAAAGCACTAAGGACTGAAACCAGCTCAAATGTTCTTGAATAAAACGTGTTACAGTGATGTACACATGTACAAATACGTCATGTACGAAAAAGCCTTTTTTAGAGGTGTTTTGACAGTTCAGAGCCACCGTACAAGTAAATAGCTTACAGATAGTACGTTTAGAAAATGCGGCACAGATTCATGCTATTTGGCGTTTTAGATTCTTTCGAACATGTAGCTGCTGCTTGTCAATCAGATGCGTCTGCGCTTGTTCTTGCTGTCAATTGCGGGGGGAAAATGATCGATGAAAAGTTTATGATAAACCGCTGAGTTTTACTCAACTGTAGAGGAAGAGTTGCCATCAGAGTCAGACTTTCATACAAAACCTGCAATGAGCTGACTTTATGGCTAACAGAGCTGAATATAAAGACAGAATGAGCCGCTGGTCGAGAGCCTCTATGACTGGATTCACCTCTCCCCCGTGCTACAGTGTGTGTGTGTGCGCGGTGACAGCTCGCGCGCTCGTCATAATCAATATGAATATTTCGATCAAACTGAATACATCTTACATCAACAACACATGACAAGCAACGTGTTGATAATAACAAATAATCAGATTACAAACAACTGTTTACACTTGTTGTAAAATGTGCGGGTCCAGTTGCAGTTTGGTGTGTGTGTGTGTGAAGCATAGAGGGAGAGGGAGAGAGAGAGGAGCAGTTTTTGAGACTATTTTAGGTTACTGATTTGTTGTACCACACGAAAAGTAATAAATATTTTGGACCAAGTTACATGTGTCCTCGTTCATTCACCGGCTGCAACTAAAAGAGAAGGCAATTCACCACGAAACTAATATTATTCGGCCCTGGAGTAATAAGTTAAGATCCCCTGCTATCTCTACACAACAAAGAGACAGAGCTGGAAAGGTTTACATAGTTAATATTTTTCCTGAGGCGATTTAAAGCAAAATACACAATGACACTCAATCAAACACATCTACAATGATAAGGAACATGGTTACTTACTGACTTATTAACGCACAGCAATACCACTTGAAGAAATTACAGACTTTGAAGGAATAAACAGTGTGAAGAGAGATCCATTATAGTGCAGTGGGCAAGTCTGAACAAGTTCCGCCCACGCGTGCGCAGCGCGCAAGTCTGTACAATTACATAATTTATCGGCTTAAAGATATCAGCCGAATTTAGACATCGAATCAATAACGATAGTCCTAAAAATAGCATTTATCGGCCGATACCGATATGGCCGCCAATATATCGTGCATCCCTAATATATATATATATATATATATATATATATATATATATATATATATATATATATATATATATATATATACTATTACTAACCAGCAATGATAGGTGAGCAAAATAAAAATTGAAAGAGGATACTTTTATTAGGCCTTTCATGAGTCTAATAATCTCAAAGTCACACTTAAAAAGAAGGTCCAAAAACCTGCATTTATAAATGAAGAATGTTTTGCAAAGCATAAAAGGTTGTTAACCAGGTAATGCTGTGTACAATTTGTTTTAGTTACACCAAATTTAACTTGTTTATTGTAAAAAGGGTTTAAATGGATATTGACATGAGACATTCTGTATTATGCATTACGTATTATGAGTCATGAGTAGGGCCAGAAAGAATCTGTCAACGTTTTTTGCTATTTCTGCGAAGAATATTGATAAAAATCTGTGGATTTCTGCCAAAATATTTTGGGAGTATTATAACTAAAACCTAAATATGTGAAACAAAAAATATTATCTTTTAAACTTTTATTTAATGTTTAAAATGCAAATCCAATTAGATACACTTTATTTGATAAACAAAGCAAGTCACTCATATAATATTTCTACTAAAAGACAAAAATATTACTGTAAAAACTGCATTGTACATAAATCAGATAAACATTTTCATATTAGTCAATAATATTACTGTATTTAATTTAAAAAGTGAATAAATATATATTTACACAAGTAAATAAAATAGAATTAATGATCTGCGCGACATTATGTGTTATGAGTCATGTACATGAGTATATGCAATTGTATAAACATGCTCAGTGTTTTCAATAACTTTCACAAAATTGACAAGTTCTCCTCAGTATCAACTTTTAATCTCAGGAATTCTTTTGATGGAGACACATCATTAATCATTTTAACTGAAGTTCTTTAATTTTGGGGAGAATTAGAAAAGAAATGTAACTTTCTTATTTTTCTAATTCCTGTGAATTAAATTACTTTAAAATAAACAAGGTCTGAGCTGATTATATGACCACAGGTATGCTCAGTCCAGAAAGACTAGGACCTCCATGCAAAAATGAATGGCCTATCATCCGGCCAGCCATCTGGAACAGGTTGCTGTCCCGTAGTACAGCAGATGCAGAAGGTACACGGTGGTTTTTTTCCCCCTCAAAAAGGGCTGTAGTAGATGAACCTAAAAAATCCAATCAGTAAGAATTAACTAATAGTACTAGTTGTATAAAATCTGTAATAGCCCAAAAGCAAAAGAGACATAAAACATCAAATCACATCTGTAAAATTCTAAACAAATGTTTTCTCTGTATGCACTGTGGTGGTACCAGTCAGCATCGATCTGCATTGCCCACCAGTAAATAGAAGATAATGTTATGAACATTTTACATCTTATCAGGTGTGCAAAAGGCTTCTCAAGTACAGTGCACGAAATCATACAGAAAAAGGTCAGGGTTACAGGCAGTGTTGACGAAAATTAAAATTATATATTTATATATATATATATATATATATATATATATATATATATATATATATATATATATATATATGTATATATGTGTGTGTGCGTGTGTGTATGTGTGTGTGCACATGTAACCGAACTGCAACCAATTACAAACCCAAATTTAAAGTGAAGCCAGCCTTCAGTTTTTGCATCATCATTGACAAAATATGGCGGTTAACTCCCTTGCCAACAGCTGCATCTCCTAAAAAAAATACAAAATGAAGCAAGTTCGTTGCACAAACTGTACAGACTATAAGCGATTCAAATTATTTTAATAATAAAAAAGGAGTACCAGTCAATCTATATTTCAATGGAGTGGACCAATTAGCACTGTTCATTTTATAAAATGAAACCAGGGTACTATCTTGTTCATCCATAGTATCAAACTGGTTGATGAGTAATGATAGAGATGGACAGTGTGAATTGATGGAGAGCAACTCATCACAGAACATTCGAGATGATTTGAATGGGTCAATTTCATTTTTCCATGCTAAAATCAAATGAACAATTTATCTAAATACCATTTTACAAGCATAGTTAAATAACAATACAAAAAAGATAAAAGAATAAATGAATAAAGATGCACTTATCATTTTACAGTACAACAGCACTAAAAAAAAATTAAATGTGTTGTGTCTAACCTGCAGACAGGGATGTTGAAGATTGTGCAGTTGAGGGTCCTGGCAATTCTTCTGTATTTAAAGAGCCCATATTATGGGTTTTTGAAAATTCCCCTCCATGTAGTGTGTAACACAGCTCTAAGTGAAGTGAAGTATCCAGCTAAGGCTTAAATCTGTAAGAATACAGTGTTTAAAACTGTTGATTCATCTATAAAAGAGTCGACTCATAGTGCTTCAAACGAGTCGCCTTGATACCGACTCATTAGGTGTTTCGCCATGACGTACGAACGAAACAAAGTTTTTCACGTGCACGCGCAAACCCGGGAGATTTCAAACCTGAGGCCCCGCCCTCTGACGCAGTAACCCAGACACACACACACACACACCCACAAACACACGCACACCCACAAACACACGCACACAAACATGCCGGTCGATTGAAGTCACACTGCAGATGGATATATTGAGTCTCTACCCAAAGATGAAACATCAGCATTATAACCAAGCAGTTGGAAACTTCTGGAAGCTACATGCTACAAAGAATACTTCATCTGAGTTTGTTAAAGGAAGGATCAGTAAAGAGTAACTGCTGGACGTCAGGATGGGTTTCTTCCATTTCTCAAGTGTAAGTACGTGCGGTTAAAGTTGTTGCCTCGTTTACTCTAGCTTGCAAATGTATTTAGTTGTGATTTGTTACTTGTAACCGCGTGTACTGTATCAGGTTAACTGGATATATTATCTTATCGCGTGCAAAGTCACGTTAAAAACGCGACGCGTGCTGTTTGTTTATGGAGCTCCGTGCTAGAGTTCTGCTCCCTCGATTTATTCGGAAATGTATTCCCGCGCCGCAGAAATCTGGCGCGGGGAGAGAGAGAGAGCGGTAGGGAGAGCGAACGAACGAACGAGCTTTGTGTACTTTGTGCTGTGTGTGTGTTTTTATACAGACAGCTTGGCTGTCTGGACTGTATACTGGGTGATATTTGGTTGTGTTCTCCGCTCTAGCGGGACCGGGCGCGGCGGGCAGAAAACGGAGCGGGTTCTCAGGCTAAAACCTGGCGGGTGCGGGCTGAAGCGGGAGCGTTGTCATCCGGAGGTGTGTGTGTGTTTTTGTGTGTGTGTGGTATGGCGAGTACACGACTGTCTCCTTCGTTCGGTTATCCGTGGCACTATCCACTCGCCATAGTGTGGCAGCTAAAGTCCACGCCTACACTATCGAGCGTGTATGAACTGTGATTACTTTTTAAATTGCTGATTAGCTATTGGCCATTTCCCTCTCTGACTGAAGGCAGTCGACCAATCGCGACAGACTGTCATCGGCCCAATCAGCGCAGATTAGCTTCGCGCTAAGGAGGGGTTTGGGAACAAATGAATCACTGGACGATTCATACAGGAGTCGCTGGGATAATTAGATAAAAATAAATGCAGATTATAAGACCATGAAAGTGTTTTTTGACCTTGCATGCATATTAGACTGTTGTTGGAGACCCTTACAACCAAGATATGACCCTATTTCATGTATAATATGGGCTCTTTAAAGTGAATGAAGAATCATTGTCACCAAAAGTCCTTTCTCTAAAACAGGCAAGACACAAACAATTTCAATTTTGTTCATTAAGCCACTTCAAAAATTTTCATGCATATTAAAAGCATTTGCCCAGTTTCATAGACAAGGCTTAGACCCTAGTGCCAGACAAAGTCTGGATGTAACTTACAATGACATACTGTTTATAGTCATTAATGTCAAAAGTCACCAGTAATGATTTTCTCAAAGCAAGGCTTATAAAAGCTACATACATCAAATCTAATAATGTCTACTACTGACCCAGTTTATGAAACCAACACATTAATTTAAATTTAAGACAGTCCACCAGAAAATTATTTTGTTAATTTTTTACCCTACATTCCATCTGATCTTTGTACATCTCCCTCGAGATATATACAACCAAAACAAACTGTGCAAACTAATCCTTTAGTATTAAAGGCATGTCATCCTACAATTTTTAGCATAACTTTACCCTTCACCACACATGCTTGCATGAAAAGGCAAGACATCAGTTGGGAAAGAGATCTGGCAAATTGGACAAATCTGTAAAAAGTAAAAATAAATTAAACAATGTATGTTTGTAGCAAATTTGTTGAAGAACATACATATTCTACCCCATAAAAAGATTCTAAAATATTAAGAATAGTCTCAAATTTTTAATAGCTTCAAACACATTCTTTATGGAACCACGAATTGGGTATATTCAAATATAGTGAGTATACCCAAATACAAGAAATAGGCATTGATCAAAGACCTGTAATGATGGTTCTAAGATGGGGTGAAGTGGGCTTGGCTGGTCAACAGTTTCGATTACATTTTCGTCTACATCATCATCTAGAATGGTCACATCATTTGAAGACTCCTAATAAAAGTAATCAAAATGCATTGGCATTGTAAATAAATAATATTGATAGAAAAATAAAACCATAATACTGTATGACTTACTGTCTCAGCTTCTTTACACTCTTCAATGTGTAAGGGCAGCAATGGCAGTGGTATTTTCTTACCACATTTCATACAGCTGGACTGTGGCATCTTAGCAAACTCCACAGAATCATAAAGTAATGGTTCAGTGGAAAGCTGTTCCTGTAATGGAACTACAAACAGCATGTTCTTTCCATTATTTGACACTGATTTTAGGAGTCGAGTTGAGTATCCATCAGCATCTGTGGGAATTATAGACAGCTTACGCTGCCCACCCCCACCTAATGGCAAAATCAATTGAGAATCACATTCAGGACTACTGTTGCCTTCTTGGGCTAGCAATATTGTTATAAATGTGTCACCTAAAATTTTGGACAGAAATGTTCTATAAAGCTCTGTTTACCACTGGAAAACTGAAGTAGGGCATGCCATAATCTTAGAACATGGCAGAGAAACATGTCCTTGACTAAAAAGTTTAAACTAATGAAGCTTATTACTAAATTATTAACGCCAACAAAGCACATACCAGTTTCATTAATTTACAAAAGTGCAAAGTTATTGCAAATGCACACAAATCATTTTTTGTTTATATGTAACATGCAAAACATAAATACCTGTAGACTTGTAAAACATCCAGCCACCCTGAAGTGTTTTTAATTTGGGAAACTCTCCTTCAAGCAGACTGACAATCTTAAGAATGAAACAAAATTCATCATTTAGTTTTTTTTTTTATCCAACATATATAAAACTCCCATCAATTCCTAGTATTATGGTAACATTTGCAATTACCTCACTGTGTTTAAAATTATCTGGAACAGTTAAAAGCCTTTTTCCAAGTCCAGCATGGACAAGCTCAAGGTCTTCATCTCCTTTTGGTGTGAAGGGTGATGGTTCAGAGAGGACATGGATTTGAAAATCAGTTTTTTTAATGTTTCCAGGTTTGGCCACAGAAAAATCTCTGTCCCAAACATACTTGGGAATTGCCTATAGTGACAAAAGGGCAAAATGAATAAACATATTAATAATAAGAAACATTTTTTGCATGACACAAAAAGTTGTGTTTTACAGTAAACATGAAAAATTACCTTTTTAAGGCTTGCCTTACCATGTTTTCAGGCTCTGCAGGCAAAGGAATGGTCCCACTTGAGATGCTTTCTCTCATTGGTCTACTACCACTTGCTAGTGCATTTCTTTACGAAGATGGAGTAAGGCCCCTGGCTAATACATCGATCAGAGCTTTTGCTGCTATTTTTACTTCTGATGACAGTGCCTGTAAGACAAATACCAATTATACCTTTTATCATTTGTTATCTTCATAGTCCGCGATCAACACTGCCGACCCCCACCCCGCCCGTTCCTTACAGTCGGCGATCATCTCCTCTCTCCACCCCCCATACCCACCCACACCCAAAACGGCATTACGCTCTCCCGGTCTTCACTTTAGTACGCGATCGATTCCACCCCCAAATTAGATCAAATTTATAGCTGAGCCCTCCTTGAATGACAATCCTAGAATCGACCATGACAGAAGCCATGCTATTTTACACTACCATCCCGTTCTTCACTCGCCATGTTGGCTTAATAACGGACTTAATTTACGTTATAAAGTTTACATTATAAACAACAGCAGCCATTGCTTTAACAAACGTTTGATACTTAAGCTTTGCATACATAAACCACTATAGAAATCAAGTAACCACTTACCCGCGCATCCCGCTCTTCACCTGCCATGCTAAATAGAGGAGTATTCTTCCTCTTAGAGGATCATCTCCGTTAATTAGGTCAGACTGCGCAAATGGAGCGCACAGTGAAGCGCTTCGGTCATTCCCGCGTTCTCAGGGAGTTGTGATTGGTTGAACAGTAAGCTCGCATCTTATTGGCTACAGGGCACGTGTGACTCACGTGGGAGGTGTGTGCTGACAGGAAAGTCTCAAAAATGCACACACTCGTATTCAGGGTGAGTCGTACGTGAGAGAGGATTTGCACATTCTCATTCACGATGAACTCGTGAATTTTAAACATTCGAAAACTTTTTGTACACTCTTATATATTTGCAAATGGTGTTTTGCATTTGTGAAATGTATTTTATGAAAATGTATTTTTATTTTGTGCATGTGAATTGTTTTTGTGAGTATAAATAAATATTTTACGCATGTGAATTTGGCTACGCATGTGTACATCGTGTCTTTTGCGTGAATTATTATTGAGTCTAATCTCTCTCCATAGAAAAACACTTTTTATCAGATCTGGACTCCGTTGCTTGAATATGTAGGTCCTAGGATTTCAGGTACATTTTTGCAAAACCTTAGATCACCATAAACTTTGGTTAATTTATGTACTTTTCTATTTTTATTATTACTCTGTATTTTTATGTCTTCTTTTTGATTTTGATTTTCATTATGTGCTGTGATGCTAAGATATTTCTTGGTTGTAAGCTGTTGTCATTGTTCTGTTCTTTTTTGTTTTGTTAAAATAAAGACAAAAAATGTATTTCGAAGAATTCCAGTTGTCAGATAGTGTCGGCGCATAAAACATTCCTTTGCATAGTGGTTTGGTTGTCTAGGACTATGATTCTGTGGGAAGCGAAGCATCAGCGAAGCATCTGTGGGAATTATAGACAGCTTACGCTGCCCACCCCCACCTAATGGCAAAATCAATTGAGAATCACATTCAGGACTACTGTTGCCTTCTTGGGCTAGCAATATTGTTATAAATGTGTCACCTAAAATTTTGGACAGAAATGTTCTATAAAGCTCTGTTTACCACTGGAAAACTGAAGTAGGGCATGCCATAATCTTAGAACATGGCAGAGAAACATGTCCTTGTGTGCTGACAGGAAAGTCTCAAAAATGCACACACTCGTATTCAGGGTGAGTCGTACGTGAGAGAGGATTTGCACATTCTCATTCACGATGAACTCGTGAATTTTAAACATTCGAAAACTTTTTGTACACTCTTATATATTTGCAAATGGTGTTTTGCATTTGTGAAATGTATTTTATGAAAATGTATTTTTATTTTGTGCATGTGAATTGTTTTTGTGAGTATAAATAAATATTTTACGCATGTGAATTTGGCTACGCATGTGTACATCGTGTCTTTTGCGTGAATTATTATTGAGTCTAATCTCTCTCCATAGAAAAACACTTTTTATCAGATCTGGACTCCGTTGCTTGAATATGTAGGTCCTAGGATTTCAGGTACATTTTTGCAAAACCTTAGATCACCATAAACTTTGGTTAATTTATGTACTTTTCTATTTTTATTATTACTCTGTATTTTTATGTCTTCTTTTTGATTTTGATTTTCATTATGTGCTGTGATGCTAAGAAATTTCTTGGTTGTAAGCTGTTGTCATTGTTCTGTTCTTTTTTGTTTTGTTAAAATAAAGACAAAAAATGTATTTCGAAGAATTCCAGTTGTCAGATAGTGTCGGCGCATAAAACATTCCTTTGCATAGTGGTTTGGTTGTCTAGGACTATGATTCTGTGGGAAGCGAAGCATCAGCGAAGCATCTGTGGGAATTATAGACAGCTTACGCTGCCCACCCCCACCTAATGGCAAAATCAATTGAGAATCACATTCAGGACTACTGTTGCCTTCTTGGGCTAGCAATATTGTTATAAATGTGTCACCTAAAATTTTGGACAGAAATGTTATGACTATGATTCTCGTTCATGCTGTGAGAAATCCCAGATTTAAATTTCGGTTGAGCCCTTACAGTTGTCTGCTGTTTTGTAAGGGCGTTGTGGCTTACACAGAGGCCTTTTTTTCTGAGAATGCCAGTTCGTCAGCTGATAGTGTTGCCATATAAAGTTACTGTTTTGCAGTGGCTCGTTGATCTAGGGGTATGATTCTCGCTTAGGGTGCCCTTGATTCGTTAGAGAAAGTTTTCTGACTATCTGATGCTTCTAACACCATGTGAAATAAATTCAATTTAGTGGCTCGTTGGTCTAGCGGTATGATTCGCGCTTTGGGTGTCCCGGACGAGCCCTTGCAGATGTTATGTGTTTTATAGGGCACTATGTCTATCATTAAAATGTCTTTCGAAGAATTCCAGTTTGTCAGCAGATAGTGTCGCCACATTAAACATTCCTTTGCATAGTGGCTTGCTGGTCTAGGAGTATGATTTTCGTTCATCCAATGAGAAATCCCAGATTCAGATTTCGGTTGAGCCCTTACACTTGTCTGCTGTTTTGTAAGGTTGTTGTGGCTTACACAGAGGCCTTTTTTCTGAGAATGCCAGTTCGTCAGCAGATAGTGATGCCATATAAAATTGCTGTTTTGCAGTGGCTCGGTGGTCTAGGGGTATGATTCTCACTTAGGGTGCCCTTGATTCGTTAGGGAAAGATTTCTGACTATCTGACGCCTTGTGAAATTCTCTCAATTTAGTGGTTCATTGGTCTATCTGTATGATTCTCGCTTCGATTGCGAGAGGACCCGGATTCAATTCTCGGATGAGCCCTTGCAGGTGTACTGTGTTTTACAGGGCATTATATCTTTCGTAAAAACGTCTTTCAAAGAATTCCAATTTGTCAGCAGATAGTGTCGCCACATAAAATATTTCTTGCATAGTGGCTTGCTGGTCCAGGAGTATGATTCTCGTTCATGCCATGAGAAATCCTAGGTTCAAATTTCAGTTGAACCCTTACAGTTGTCTTTTGTTTTGTAAGGGCGTTGTGGCTTACACAGAGGCCTTTTTCTGAGAATGCCGGTTTGTCAGCAGATAGTGTTGCCATGTAAAGTTACTGTTTTGCAGTGGCTCGTTGGTCTACGGGTATGATTCTGGCTTAGGTTGCCCTTGATTCGTCAGAGAAAGTTTTCTGACTATTTGATGCTTCTGAAGCTATGTGAAATTTTATCACAGTAGTGGCTCGTTGGTCTAGGGGTATGATTCTCGCTTTGGGTGTGAGAGGTGCCGAGTTCAAATCCCGGACAAGCCTTTGCAGGTGTCATGTGTTTTACAGGGCACCATGGCTTTCATTAAAATGTCTTTCGAAGAATTCCAGTTTGTCAGCAGATAGTGTCGCCACATAAAACATTCCTTTGCATAGTGCCTTGCTGGTCTAGGAGTATGATTTTCGTTCATGCAATGAGAAATCCTAGGTTCAAATTTCAGTTGAACCCTTACAGTTGTCTTTTGTTTTGTAAGGGCGTTGTGGCTTACACAGAGGCCTTTTTTCTGAGAATGCCGGTTTGTCAGCAGATAGTGTTGCCATGTAAAGTGGCTGTTTTGCAGTTGCTCGTTGGTCTACGGGCTTGATTCTCGCATAAGGTGCGAGAGGTCCCGTTTTCAAATCCTGGACGAACCATTGCAGAAGTCCCGGGTCCAAATGAAGCAAAAGCCCTGCTTCAATGTTTGTTAGATAAGGATTTCTGACCATCTGTTGCTTCAGATGTCTTGTGAAATATTCAAGCTTTTGTGGCTTGTTGGTCTAGGGGTATGATTCTCGCTTAGGGTGCGAGAGGTCCCGGGTTCAAATCCCGGACGAGCCCTTGCAGTTATTTTGTTGTTTTACAGGGCATTATGGCTTTCATAAAAAACATTTTTCGAAGAATTCCAGTTTGTCAGCAGATAGTGTCGCCACATAAAACATTCCTTTGCATAGTGGCTTGCTGGTCTAGGAGTAAGATTTTCGTTCATGCAATGAAAAATCCCAGATTCAAATTTCGGTTGAGCCCTTACAGTTGTCTGCTGTTTTGTAAGGTCGTTGTGGCTTACACAGAGGCCTTTTTTCTGAGAATGCCAGTTCGTCAGCAGATAGTGTTGCCATATAAAGTTGCTGTTTTGCAGTGGCTCGGTGGTCTAGGGGTATGATTCTCACTTAGGGTGCCCTTGATTCGTTAGGGAAAGATTTCTGACTATCTGACGCCTTGTGAAATTCTCTCAATTTAGTGGTTCATTGGTCTATCTGTATGATTCTCGCTTCGATTGCGAGAGGACCCGGGTTCAATTCTCGGATGAGCCCTTGCAGGTGTACTGTGTTTTACAGGGCATTATATCTTTCGTAAAAACGTCTTTCAAAGAATTGCAAATTGTCAGCAGATAGTGTCGCCACATAAAATATTTCTTGCATAGTGGCTTGCTGGTCTAGGAGTATGATTCTCGTTCATGCCATGAGAAATCATAGGTTCACATTTCAGTTGAACCCTTACAGTTGTCTTTTGTTTTGTAAGGGCGTTGTGGCTTACACAGAGGCCTTTTTCTGAGAATGCCGGTTTGTCAGCAGATAGTGTT